TATGTGGTTTTTAAAGACTTTTTAAAAATTTATTTGAGAGAGAGTGTGCGAGCATGGGTAGGGGCAGGGAGAGGGACAAGCAGACTCTGTGCTGAGCATGGAGTTCCATACGGGGCTCAATCTCATGACCTGAGCCAGAATCAAGAGATGGATGCTTAACTGACTGAACACCCCAGGTGTCCCAGTTATATGTGAATTTTAAAAAATATCTTCCATGCTTTTCAACATTCTCATAATTTCTTGTACTTTTTTGAAATTATGGAATAAATGCCTATCATTTGTGTCATTTATTTTTTTTTTTAAGATTTTTATTTGAGAGAGCACAGGCAGGGGGAGTGGCAGGCAGAGGGAGAGGGAGAAGCAGGCTCCCCCATGAGCAGAGAGACTGACGTGGGGCTGGATCCCAGGACCCTGTGACAATGACCCAAGCTGAAGGCAGATGCCCAACCAACTGAGACACCCAGGCGCCCCTCATTTGTGTCATTTCTGAATTTCTTTCTTTCTTTCAAGATTTTATTTATTTATTTGTCAGAGAGAGAGACTGCACGAGAGAGCACCCACACTTGCACACAGGGAGAGGGGCAGAAGGAGAAGCAGTCTCCCCACTGAGCAAGGAGCCCAATGTGGGACTCGATCTCAGGACCCTGGGATCATGACCTGAGCCGAAGGCAGACACTTAACCAACTGAGACACCCAGGTGCCCCTCTGAATCTATTTCTATAATTTGATTTTTCTCCTCATTATGGATTGTATTTTCCCGTGTATTTGCTGCCTAATAATTTTTTTAAAGATTTTATTTATTTGTTTATCAGAGAGAGAGAGCACAAGCAGGGGGAGCAGCAGAGGGAGAAGCAGGCTCCCTGCTGAGCATGGAGCCCAATGCGGGACTTAATCCCAGGACCCTGAGATCATGACCTTAGCTGAAGGCAGACGTTTAACTGAGCCACCCAGGCGTCCCCCTAATAATTTTTTATTGGATGACAGACAGTGTGAATTTTACATTCTTGGGTGAATTTTTTTTTTTTTTTTTTGTAGTTTAAATATTGTAAATATTGTGTTTATTCTGGGATGCTGTTAAATTACTTGGAAACAGTTTGGTCCTTTCATGGGTTGCTTTTCAGCTTTGTTAGGTAAACTCAGAGCTGTCTTTATTCTAGAGTTACTGGCCCCACTACTGAGGCAATCCTTTTCAGTATTCTATGCTAGCCCTGTGTATTACAAGTTTGCTCCACTCTGATTGTTGGGAATATGAACTATTTTCAACCCTGTATATTTTCTGGGAGTTACTCTGCATCTTCTACCCAGTGGTTCTTTCACTGGTCTATGGCAGTTTTCTCACACTATGTGTTGATCAGTATACAACTGAAGACTAAAGGGAAATCCCCTGTATATCTCTGCAGCTCTTTCCTCTCCAATATTTTGCCCTGTAAATTATAGATGCCCTGATCTGTCCAAATTCTCAACTACACTCCTCAACTCAAGGAGACCCTGTGCCGTGTTTCTCTTCACTGTGCTGACATCAAGAAACTATCTCCTACTATGTTGCTAGGTGATTCATTTTCTCTTCCTCTTCTCCCTGGGACCACTCTTCTGCATTGCCCCTTGTCCACTTTAGGAAATCCTTTATTTTTTTTTTAATTGAAGTATTATTGACACACAATGTTAATTGGTTTCAGGTGTACAACATAATGATTCAGGAAGTCTATATGTTATGCTATGCTCACCATAAGTTTAGCTAACATCTGTCACCATACAACACTATTATGATATCATTGACTATATTTCTATGTTGTACCTCTTATCCCCATAACTTACGCACTCCATAACTGGATTTTTTTTTTTTTTTTTTTTTTAGAGGGAGAGTGCACATGAGTGCATATGAGCATGGGGGGAGAAGCAGAGGGAGAGAGAGAATTTTAAGCAGCCTCCACACTCAGCATAGAACTCAACCTGGGGCTCGATCTCTCACTGAGATCATGACCTGAGTCAAAATCAAGAGTCAGACACTTTACTGACTGAGCCACCCAGGTGCTCCATAACTGGAAACTTTTACCTCCCACTCTCCTTCACCCATTTTGCCCATCCCCTCTGACATCCACCGTTTGTTCTCTGTATTTAAGGCTCTCCCCTCTGGCAATGTCCAGTTTGTTTTCTGTATTTATGGATGTTTTTCTGTTTTTAAAATTTTTTTTTAAGATTTTAAGTAATCTTGGGGCACCTGGGTGGCTCAGTCATTGGGCGTCTGCCTTCAGCTCGTGTCGTGATCCTGGGGCCCTGGGATCGAGCCCCGCATCGGGCTCCTTGCTCTGTGGGAAGCCTGCTTCTCCCTTTCCCACTCCCCCTGCTTGTGTTCCCTCTCTCACTGTGTCTCTCTCTGTCAAATAAATGAATAAAATCTTAAAAAAAAAAAAGATTTTAAGTAATCTCTACACACAATGTGGGACTTAAATTTACAATCCCAATATTGAGAGCTGCGTGCTCTACTGACTGAGCCAGTCACGTGCCCGTTGTCTGTGTTTTTAGTCATTTAAGGTTGTGGAGTACTTCTTGTCCCTGCTATTTCCATGTTTAGAAGTGGAAGTCTCCCTGAAAGTGTTTAAGTACTTGGTCCTTCCGGTTGAACAGGTGCAAATAGCAATATAGCAATAATGTGTGATTAGTGTGATCTTGTGATGTCAGCACCAGCAAAATTTCTTTGGATTACATTAGATTCTAAAGAAAGTAAACTTGAGCAAATCTGTGAAGGTGTATTATAGGCTCTTCTAGGTCAAAGCAAATAGCATCTGATGATCTTTACAAACTGATAATAGATTTTTTAAAAATCTTTTGCAAGATCGATACATGCATAACAGCTGGTTTGATTTGTCCCAGGCAATATATCATTTCTAGAACAATAGCTGTAATTGGAATCACTATCTGATAAATTTTATGACCCTCAGTCATTCTCCAGGATCACAAGCTAAACAGGGGACTTGAATGGGGATATTTTAAATATCAACATTCCTGCACATACCAAGCTAGGAAGCAAGGATCAAGAAATACCAAAAAAATCTTACTATTGTGTTGGCCACATTTTCTGATCATAATGAGATACAATTAGAAATTAATAATGAAAACATAACTTAGGGATGTTTGGGTGGCTCAGCTGGTTAAGCATCTGACTCTTGATTTTGGCTCAGGTCATGATCTCAAGGTCATGGGATCTAGCCCTGCATTGGGCTCTGTGCTCAGCATGGAGTCTGCTTGAGGCTCTCTTTCCTTCTCCCTCTAACCCTCTCCCCACCCCCCGCTCTCTCTCTCTAAAATAAATAAATAAATCTTCTAAAAAACATAAGTTTTATTTATTATTATTGTTAATATTTTTAAAGATTTTATTTATTTACCTGACAGAGAGAGAGAGAGAGCACAGGTAGGCAGAGTGGTAGGCAGAGGAGAGGGAGAAGCAGGCTCCCCGCTGAGCAGAGAGCCTGATGTGGGGCTCAATCCCAGGACCCTGGGATCACCACCCAAGCTGAAGGCAGACACTTAACTGGCTGAGCCACCCAGGCACCCCAGAAAACATAAGTTTTAAATGCACACATTTGGAAAACTTAAAACACATCTCTATGGACTTCTATGGAAAAAACAAGATCCATAGCTGAAATAAATAATTCAAGATACTGAGTATTGTTTAATATATGATTACCACTTATGTAATCATATATTACATTTGTGTATATATATTTGCAGGTATATATAAAAATTATTTGGAAATATACCTCCAAAATTTAACACTGGGCACTTGTATTGGGGGAATGTATAAAACCATGTAGATGGGATCGGTAGTAGGATGGAAACTTCACTGAATACCATTTCACACTTTTCATCTTTGATTTCCGGTGAAGGCTTTAGATGTCTACAGTCCTTGCTGACATTTTAAATGCAGCCTCAAGTGAGACCCTGAGCTAAAACCACTCATCTAAGCTATTCCCAGATCCTATAGAGACTACTTAAAGATAATAAATGTTTATTGCAGGGGCACCTGGGTGGCTCAGTCGTTAAGTGTCTGCCTTTGGCTCAGGTCATGATGCCAGGGTCCTGGGATCAAGCCCCGCATTGGGCTCCCTGCTCAGCGGAAAGCCTGTTTCTCCCTCTCCCAATCCCCCTGCTTTGTATTCCCTCTCTCTGTCAAATAAATAAATAAAATCTTTGAAAAAATAATAAATGTTTATTGCTTTCAGCTGCTAAGTTAGTAATTTGTTATGCAATAGATAACTAATACACCAGTCCTCACAAAGGTTTTTGGTTGGAATTTCTGTTGCCCGTGTGGTTAGAAAAGTTTTAAGTAGAAATATGACAACTGGCAGAAGCAAATACTTTCTTAGGAAGAGCTTATTTTTGCTGCCCTGCTTCTCTCTTTAGCTCAGGGTCATAACATCGGCAGGATGGGCAAGTGTCATGGCCTCCACACTGCCAGGAAGTTCTACAGCCACTGACGAGATCAGAAGTGGCATGATGAACAGTACAAGAAAGCCAATTGGGTCACAGTCCTAAAGGCCAACCCTTTTGGAGGCACTTCCCATGCAAAAGGAATTATGCTGGAAAAAGTAGGGGTTGAAGCCAAGCAGCCAAATTCTGCCATCAGGAAGTGTGTCAGAGTCCAGCTGGTCAAGAATAGCAAAAAAAAAATTTTGTACTCAACGATGGTTGTTTGAATTTTATTGAGGAAAATGATGAGGTTCTGGTTGCAGCATGCTGTTGTTGACATTCCTGGAGTTCGCTTAAAGGTTGTCAAAGGTTGTCAATGTCTCTCTTTTGGCCTTATACAAAGGCAAGAAGGAAAAACCAAGATCATAAGTTTTGATGGCAAAAACATGACAATAATAAATTTTCATAAACCAAAAAAAAAAAAAAGAAGAGCTTGTTTTTAACCCAGGTCTCAAAGAATTACTGAGGGTCAATTTCAAAGTAAGTAATAGTTCACAATGAGAGCCACAAAACACCTATAAGCAAAAGATATCATGAGTGAGAGCCAGAAAACCAATAAACGGCAGAAGTAGACATGTAAAGACTCCATATATTGAATTTTTATCAATGAAATAATCTAAAATGAATTGTTTAATATGCTTCAAGAGATAAAAGCAGGACCAAGAAACTATGAGCAGTAAAAGAAACCATAATGAACAACCAAGCAGATTTTTTTTAAAGAACAAAGTAGAACTTCTATAAATAAAAAATACATGATGTTAATTAAATAGTCAAGGGCTGATTAAATAGTAGACTAGACACAATCGAAAAGAGAACCAGTGCAGTAAAAAATAGATCCAAAGAATTTATCCAGAATGCTGTCCATGGATTCAAAGAGAAAATATGAATGAAGGGTTAAGAGAAATGGAGGACAGAATGAAAAAGTCAAACATATAGCTCAGTGGAGTTCCAGAGGAGATGATGGAGGGATTGGGGATGAAGCAATATTTGAAGATAAAGAATTTTTCAGGGTTGTTGAGAGAGATCAATCCTTAGATACAGAAAGCCCAACAAAATCTCGAGGGAATAAATAAAATGAAATTCAACAGAAACATATCACAATTTAACTGCAAATCAGAAAAGAACAAGAAATGATCTTAAAAAGCAGAGTAAGAAAGAAAGCGTATCAGAGGAAATAATACAAGTAAAAACAAAAATTAACGAAATAGAGATAAAATGATGCCATAGAGGGATCTATAAAGACAAAGCAGGTGTTAAAATAGACAAACTTGGGCGCCTGGGTGGCTCAGTCGTTAAGCGTCTGCCTTTGGCTCAGGTCATGGTCCCAGGGTCTTGGGATCGAGCCCTGCATCGGGCTCCCTGCTCCGCGGAGAGTTTGCTTCTCCCTCTCCCGCTCCTCCTGCTTGTGTTCCCTCTCTCGCTTTGTCTCTCTGTCAAATAAATAAATAAATAAAATCTTTAAAAAATAAAAAAATAAAAAAAAAATAGACAAACTTATAACAAGATTGATAATAAATAAGATTACATATGGCTCTTTGAGGAAGAGGTGGTCGCGGCTAAAGTGGAGGTTTGGGCACTTCCCTCCTGCTCCTGGCTCACCACCGTTCGCTCTCACTGAGGAACAAGTCAGTTAGGAAGCCAGGCCGCAGCTGTGGCTTTTAAAGACACTGGGCAGACACCCGTGGAACCAGAGGTGGCGATTTCCCGAATTAGAATTACTCTAACCAGATGCAACGCAAAATCTTTGGAAATGGTATGTGCTGACTTGATCGGAGGCACAAAGGAAAAGAATCTCAAAGTGAAAGGACCAGTTTGGATGCTTACCAAGACTCTGAGGATCACTACAAGAAAAACTCCTTGTGGTGAAGGTTCTAAGACTTGGGATCGTTTTCAGATGAGGATCCACAAGCAACTGATTGATTTGCACAGTCCTGAGATTGTTAAGCAGATTACTTCCATCAGTACTGAGTCAGGAGTTGAGGTTGAAGTCACCATTGTAAATGCTTAAATCAACCTTTTTAATAAATTGATTATCAGTTGTTAAAAAAAAAGATTACATATGAATAATACCAGGAATGAAAAGGGGGCCATAATTCTCTTAAAGTCTTTAAATATTATAGAAACTATCATGAACTTTATGTCAATAAATTAGTAAACTTAAGTGAAATGGATAGCATATTAGGATATATTTGGCTTCATATAAGAGAATACCTGATTGATAGTTGTTTGAGCAATAAGACATTTAATTAAAATATAGATGGATTTGGGGCAGACAGACGAATGCTTTCACATAGGTTTGGAACTAATCATTTTCCATACAACTTTTTTTTTTTTTAAAGATTTTATTCATTTACTTGACAGAGAGAGAGGGAACACAAGCAGGGGGAGTGGGAGAGCAAGAAGCAGGCTTCCCGCCACCAAGCAGGGAGCCTGATGTGGGGCTCGATCCCAGGACCCTGGGATCATGACCCGAGCCGAAGGCAGACGCTTAACGACTGAGCCACCCAGGTGCCCCGTACAACTTTTTTTTTAAAGTAAAACATTCATACAGAGAAAAGTGTACAAATCAAGTATATATCTCAAAATAATTTTTTCACAAAGTGAACAAATCCAAGTAACCATCACCCAGATCAAAATATGGAGCATTACTATACAACAGAGGCCTCCATGTGGCAGTAATAATTTAAAGCTTAACCCTCAAAAGTTCCTTTAGTCTATATGGATTCAGCTGGCTTGTATTTTAAAAGCACAAACATTTTCCTGCCCACCAAGTACGAAAAGAGCTACGAATTGAAATGTCTGTTTGCCCCTAGAATTCACATTCTTGCCTCAGCTATGCCCACTAACTGCGTTCTCTGATCCACCTGTGTGTGCTGAGGTTTCCAAGAGGCCCGCACGAGTGGACTGAGACCAGTGCCATGGTCAAAGTTTTGGGATGCAGCAGTAGTGTGCACCCTGAGGCCACCTGAGACCACTGAAGCCTATGCAGCAGCTTTGCCAGGCGGTGTATTGTCTTGCTAGGGACCACGTCTTTGCTTAAGGTCCAGTGTGTGTAGCTCTGCTCTGTAGAAGTATAAGCTGTAATATCCTGACATAAGCTGTAGTCACCTGCCAAGGTCAAAATACGAGGTGGCTTAAGACTTAAAGCCTCTTGCAGAAGTTAAAAGCTATATCTATACAGCTGTAAAAACTCACCTGGCTTTAATATAACCTCTTAAATTGCCCAAGTCAAAATCTACTAAGTATACTCTAAAGTCTAAAGCTCAAAGATACTTACCCTACTTCATAAACGCCTCTCCTGTAGATATTTTGTCACCCAGAATTTAAATCCCTATTTATTCACCAATGTTCACACCCAACATTTCAGATGTTGGGGGCTTTGAGGTTACACCCCTAAAATGTCGGTCTGTTTACTCCAGAGGCAAGGCCTGTCCCTGCATCTCTTATAGCATGGAAGACAACAATAATCAGAAGATTCTACTCTTTATCAGCAAGGCAGCTTCCTAGATGAAGGGAAATCTGTGCCCACTTCCCCAAACTTATGACTTAGGTAACGCCCCACTCCTCCTTCCAGGGAAGCTAAGAGTGAAGGAGAAGAGAGAGGCCAGGAGAATTATCCTAGTGAACCTCTCCTTGCAGTGAAGGAAACACCAAGTGATGGAGAAATGTACTCTCCCCAAACCAATTAGTTTAAAGTATCAGAAAACCATGCATCAGAAGTGAGGAGATGATCTCATCCTAGCAGGCCAAAATTTCTCTAGGAGAGTGTGTACCAGACCCAGGGAAAGGAGTCAGGACTTATGTACACGACTTGCCAAAAAGCTAGAGCTTTGAGAAGGTGCTCAGAAAATCTAAAAGCAAGCAGTAAGGGAGCCGATGAAAATCCACACTTCCTACTTTGTCTGAAAATAGCTAGGTCTTTATTAGTATATAAGAAATCATGTTCTCTACAAAAAGGGAGCAAAAGGTCATAAAGAGGAAACAAAGGAGATGAAAGGACAGTACATGAAATACAAAGGCCACAAGAGAGATGAAAAGGGAGTTGGGTAAGGCATGGGAGAACTACAGAAAATCTACACATTAATATACAACAAAAAGAGGCTAAGAGGGCGCCTGGGTAGCTCAGATGGTTAAGCGTCTGCCTTCAGCTCAGGTCATGATCCCAGGGTCCTGGGATTGAGTCCCACATCGGGCTCCCTGCTCCTTGGGAGCCTGCTTCTCCCTCTGCTTCTCTCTCTCTCTCTCTCGGTCTCTCATGAATAAATAAATAAAATCTTTAAAAAACAAACAAACAAACCAACCAAAAAGAGGCTAAGAACTGACATTATAGACAATGCAGTAAATGATGTGAAGGACAAATATGAGAAAGTCCCTTAAAATGTAGAGGAAAAGGAGAAAGGATGAAATAATAAGAGAAAAGATGACAGCAACAGAGGACAAAAACAGATTGATTTTTTTTTTTAAGTTTTATTTATTTAAGTAATCTCTACACCCAACATGGGGCTCAAACTCATGACCCTGAGATCAAGAGTCACATGCTGTACAGACTGAGCCAGCCAGGCATCCTGACAAAGAACAGATTTAAATCAAGAATTACTGCTGTTCTGGGGCACCTGGCTGGCTCAGCTGGTGGAGCATCTGACTCTTGATCTCAGGGGGGGTGTGAGTTCGAGCCCCATGTTGGGTATAGAGATTACTTAAAATAAAATCTTAAAAAAAAAAAAAAGGAATTACTGCTGTTCCTAAGGGAGGAAAAATGAACAAGAAGTCAAAATTGAAAGTTTTTGGAGCTAGAAAAAACCTAAGTATTAAGACTAAAGGGGATCACCATGTTGAATGAAAATGAACAGATAGACCTACATAGACATACTCTGGCAAAATTTTTTTAATTACAAAAAAAAAAAAATGCTACAACCTAAAGAGAATAAATAGGTTAGCTATAAAGAAAAAAATTTACATTTGATTTTAACTTTTTCAGGAATACTAAATATAGTGGAACAACATATACAGAATTTTTAGGGGAAAATTATCTGACATAGCCATAAGTCAGCAAAAAACCAAACGAGGCATTTTTGAAGTATAGTCCATGGACTCCTTGGGGTCTTTTTTTTTTTTTTCAAGATTTATTTATTTGAGAGAGAGAGTGAGAGAAAGCACAAGGGGAAAGGAGAGGGAGAAGCAGGCTCCCCACTGAGCAGGGAGCCTGACACAGGGCTGGATCCCAGGACCCTGGAATCATGACCTGAGCCAAAGGCAGACGCCTAACCGACTGAGCCACCCAGGTGCCCCGACTCCTTGGGGTTTTAGAAATCTTTCCAGGGTATCTACAAGGTCAAAGCTATTTTTGAAATAATACGAAGTCATTATTTGGCTTTTTACTTTGTTAATATTTGCACTGTCCATGCAAAAGCAATAGTTAAAATTGTTGGCAGCTTGGCACAAATCAATGCCATGTACCAACTGCACTAGTAATTATGTTCTTCACCACCACATACTCTCATGTGTCCTTGATGAAACAATAAAAAATATTAATTTTACTAAATCTTGAACCTTAAATGCACTTTTTTTAATATTCTGTGCAGCAAATAGGAAGTATATATAATGCACTGCTGCTGTTTAGTGAAGTATCATGGTCGTCTTGAGGAGAAGCACTTGTGCAATTGGGTTACAAGCTGAACTAGCTACTTTTTTCACGTACTACCATCTTTACTTGAAAGAAGGACAGACAAACCATTGTTATTGAGACTTAGGCACAGGCAGACATTTTCTTGAAAATGTACAAAATGAGCTTATCGCTTCAAAGAAAACAATTGACTATATTTTGCCATTAAAAATTTTGCGATTTCAAGTGAAAATTAAAATATTAGAAAAACTGTATCTGCCACTCTGAGCTCAGATCCTTACTACTTAAAGACTTTTCTGATGAGATCAGTGGTAATGTAAATGAAAGTGATTTTTAAAAATATTGATTAATAATATATGTTAACATTTGGAAGACAGGCATAACTCAGTGGACCAATAATTTCCAAATGACCAAATGCATGATGTTACAAAATTATGCCTGGGTAAAAAATCCATTCAATGTGAAAGATAAATCAATAGATTCTAATTTAACAGAGTATGAACATTCATTGATATGGTTTTAAATTCCACATTGAAATTAATCTTTAGGAAACTACTATTTGCTGAATTCTGGTACAGTAGCAAAGAAGAATATCCAAAATTACCTGAAAAGATTATTAAAATACTCCCCCTCTTCAAAATACTTTTCCCTTTTCCAATTACATATTGGTGTGAAGCCAGATTTTCTTCATATATTCCAACTAAAATAACATATTACAACAGATTGGATGCAGAAATGTATGAGCTTCTATTAAGATAGACATTAAACATATTTGCAAAACAGTATTTTATAACCAACCAAATGAATGTTCCTGAGTGAAGACAAATGTATTCTTAGATATGTAAGGGCTCAGTAAATAGACCTACCTGCCCTTCTTAAAAGAAATTGCTTGTTTTTTTTTTTAAAGATTTTATTTATGTATTTATGTATTTATTTGAGAGAGTCAGCGTGCTGCAGGGGGCGGGGGGGGGGGGGGTGGCGCGAGGGCTGAAGGGGAGGGAGAGAAGAATCCCAAAGGGACTCCTGCTGAGTTTGGAGTCCATTCAGGGCTCTATCCCAGGACCCTGAGATCATGACCTGAGCTGAAACCAAGAGTTGGATGCTCAAATGAGGCAGCCGGGCGCCCCTTAAAAATTACTTGAGGATTTATTTCTGCCATTAAATATATGAATAATTATGACCACAAGAATGGAGAAATTGGGTGATAAAAGGATTGTTTTGTGAATTATAAATTGCCTCCAAATTATATGTACTATGGTTGGAAAGGAGCAGTTCCTCAAAAAGGGGAAGGGATGTGAGACAAACCAAAAACTAGGAATCAGCGCATCACCTTATCGAAGCCCCTCTGTTTAGAATGTCCACCTCCTTCTGCGCTCATCCAAATCCCATTATATTTCAAGATAAAGTTCAGGTCCCATGTAGAAGCTCAGTACTGGAAAGGAGCAGGAGAGAGGAAAATCATTTATCTTGAGACCTATTATTATGTACCTGTCTGGGGGTTCAAAATTCATTCACTTTTAATCCTTACAGGAAACCGGAAGACTATGGGTTTTTTTGGTTTTTTTTTTTTTTAAGATTTTATTTATTTGACAGAGAGAGACACAGCGAGAGAGGGAACACAAGCGGGGGGAGTGGGAGAGGGAGAAGCAGGCTTCCCGCCAAGCAGAGAGCCCGATGTGGGGCTCGATCCCAGGACCCTGGGACCATGACCTGAGCCGAAGGCAGACGCTTAACCACTGAGCCACCCAGGCGCCCCAGAAGACTAGGTTTTGCTATCCCCATTTTATAGACAAAGAAATCGAAATTCAAAGAGATTAAACCACTTGCCCATTGTCATCCTACTAGCTAGAGGTGGAATTTGGATGTAAACTCAGATCTTTTTTACTTTGACTTTCATGACCTTTGCATTTCACTATACTATCTTAAAGTTCATCTTATTTAATCTAAATAAGCCCTGCCCAATCTGCTGTTTAAATCCTCATCAAGACATCCCCATGAATGGTTAACAGCCCAATCCCCTCCAGGAGCAAAGAATTCCACACATTTTAATGCTGTCCATTATATCCATTGACTGCACTAAAAAGTTTCTTCTCAATATTAAGCTGACATAGTTCTTCTGAAGCTGTTATGCATAAATCTTAATAATACCCTTTGGTATTATTAAGGGTATAATGAACTAATGAGAGAGACCATTAGTGGGATATTGATTCTCTTCTTCATTTAAATGTTTTATTTCTTTATTATTATTTTTTAAAGTAGGCCCCACACCCAATGTGGGGCCTTGAACTCATGACCCGGAGATCAAGAGTCACATGCTCTACCACTGAGCCAGTCAGGTGCCCCTCTTCTTCTTTTACATAGGAATAGAATTTTTTGCCTCAGCACAGAGGCAGATGGACCATGAAGCTAATGAAACTGAAGCTTTAGAGCTCCTCACCTGCTGGGGCCCTGGCAGATGCTGGGAGCTGTGGAGTGTTCTAGATGGAGAAGGGAACAGATTGAAATTAGGAAGCATTTCTGAGGAATTAGCTAAAGAAATCTCAGAAGAAAGGGACCTGAAACTCCAAAGCTCCAATAATTTATTGTAATTTCTTTTCTCATACTTAACAAATATATTTG